TGTGCCCTCTGACAGACTGGCATCCCGTTCAGGGTGTCCCCCGCCTTGTGCCCTCTGACAGACTGGCATCCCGTCCAGGGTGTCCCCCGCCTTGTCCTTAAAGGGAGGGATAAAGGCATGCACCATGATACTCCATGCTGTCTAGGATGGGATCTTGGATAAACAGCTGGAAAATGGATGCATGGAATTATTTATAAAAATAAATATCTAGATTATTTATTTTATTTATAACCAACAATGAAAAGTTTTCCCCTGTTGAAGTATTTAAATGTAGCCTTCTTGCTGTATTATACATTGAAAGCCGTCATCTGTCAGTATGTCTTATACAGAACATGGTAGCTTAACCCGTCGATGAAGGAAATCCGCGGGCCCAGCTTTCCATCCCAAGGTTATGTCATTAAAGTGTTCATTGTGCACTCGCTCAGAAGTGCCTTTGTCATTCGAAAACCTCTTCACTACAAAACAATTCCAGCTTTATCTTCTCGTTTAATTACTCGGCTAACCTTTATCTGAGCTTTATTCCCTTGTTTAATTACTCAGAAGGAACATGTGTAATTCTAATTGACAAAAGCAGTGTAAGGTGAGTGACAGAGAGAAGAGCAACAACACAGTGGGTCTACATTAGTGACGGCTGTTTGTGTGAAGTAGAATTCCAAAATTCCACAGTCGGCGTCATCTACAGAATTGAAAGTAGCGGAAAGCCAGAAATGTTTTAAGCTTGGGTCACCCTTCCATCCGTGAGGAATAGTGCGACTTCAGGTGCATTCATGCATTTTCTGTGGTCTGCTGCATGTCTGACCTGTGCAGTGTGGACCCAGGGCTTCTCGCTTATTATCATATAAACCAGATTTCCTACATATTCAGCATACCTGGGAGAAATGGGCCGCCTCCACCCAGAGCTGGGTCAGGGTGCTCAAAGCAAACAGGGACCGTAATTACGCCGCAGTCGCCGATGACAGCACAGCCAGGCACCTGCCGTCTGGTTCAATTTTTCCCATTCCTCTGTCCTGTTACTCGCGGAAGAACTGGGTCTGGGTTTGTGTCTCTACCAAGCGGACGTCACCCTCGCTCCATAACATGCCTATTTTATGGTTCACTTTGTGTAACAGAGCCAATTTATGCAGACACAATGCGTCTATATGAACATGCGTTTCCTTTACAAACATATGTAGTGTTTTGACTATATGCATATTTTTAAAAGTCTTTCATTAAATTTTCTGTAACCCATTATAGGGTTGTGGTCTTAGCCTGGAGTCTACTCCAGGCTGTCAGAGGGCACAAGGCAGGGGACACCCTAAAAGGGATGCCAGGCTGTCAGAGGGCACAAGGCAGGGAACTGCCTAGCAATGGCCTGTAAAATTTCCCAGGTATCCAGTCAGCTAGCTCACGTCATGAGGAGACCTGTAGTGTAATTTGACAGCAGATCCTGTCCAGAAGGACTCTGGGGGGATGTCTTCTTGCAGAAGGGGGCGGGGGGCATTGTAGCCTGGTCTGGAGCAATGCTGATGTGAATCTGGAAATGGCTCAAAGGAACTGACAGACTAACACTGGGCAGCAGGTCGCGTAGGGAACCTGAAAAATAAAATACAGTCAAATTAGACGTACATTTCCATCCATCTTCCATACCTTGGGGTCACAGTGCGCCTGGAGTCTATCCCATGGGTCATTTATAGATGTGCTTTACCTATCCTGTTTTTGGATTACAAGAGGAAAGTATTGCACCTAGGAGAAAACTCACAAAGAACAGGCAAAGGGCTGATGAGGGGCAGGGGGACCATTCAAACGGCCCGGAGGTGCGAGTCGGTCTGAGCCGCTGAACCCGCCTGCTGTTAGAAGCCCAGCGAGGCTGATCCTTGCCTTTTGGTGACCTTTATGTTCTGCTGGCTGCTGCTTAAACACCGCATTTTCCTTCCCGAGCTTTTTCACATTGTTTACATGGTTAAAGTTACCTTGCGTCACGTCCTTGTCTGGCTGTTCTGGAGCGGGGCATCAGTGTGCCAGAAGTCACACCTGTCTGCCCCCCCCAGCCCCCCCCCCAATCCCCAGCAGGGTCTCCTGGTACATTTTGTCCATTGCTGCTTATTCCTCATTTATCTCCTTGAAGCCATCGTGTCTTTGAAAGCCTGGTGACTGGATGTACTTCTCCCATTGCAGCCGGCGCCGACAACAAGATAGGCTGGGCCTTTGGATTGGGCCTGGAGCGTCTGGCCATGGTCCTCTACGGGATCCCCGACATCCGCCTCTTCTGGAGCCAGGACGAGCGCTTCCTCCGCCAGTTCCGCTTACCCCACATCAACGACCCCGTCAGCTTCCAGGTACAAGCTTTCTTCCTAGCAGTCATCTTTATTTACCGTATCTGATCTATGTAATACTTCAACAGTGAATGAACAACCTTCAAGGGTGATTCTAGGATTTTTACGGTAAGGCACATGGGAGTGGCCAGATTTCATATGCAGGGGCCAATCTTATCATTAGCCAATGAAATGTTTTATATCTGTGAGTGACAGAGGAGGCGACACTGCTGTGGCCAATCAGCTTTCACTTAGGCCCAGTGCCCCTGTGGCCCCGCCTCTGTATAGGTTTCCTTCTCATTAGCACATTAACACCACCTGGCCAGGCACGGTATGTCTTTAAGACCACACTTACTGTGTCGTGTTCAAGCTGATCTCTGCTTTTTAGCAAACTAGCATCTTTTTTACGAGTCTGGTCCTTGAGCAGCACTTCCTGCTCTGGTCCTTGTTAGCAAAAGCTCACCCTGCCTCCTCATCTCCACACCCATCCCCGGCGCTGTCCTGATCTCCTCACCCTCTCAGGGATGACTGATGTGGGGTTTAACCTGCAGAGAAGTGCCCCACCTCCCTAACCCCCCCCCCCCCACAGAACTCCCTGGCACATGCTGGCTGCTGATTTGCATTCTATCTTTTTTCTTCTTCTTTGTTCCCTTCTTTTAGCTTTCGTGTCGCCATTTTTTACTCCAAAATCCTTGTGACTGGCTGCATTAAGTGTCAGTCAGCCTATTGTGCTCCCTCCCTCTTTTATAATTGGACAGCTTTTTATGGTAATTTATGTTTGGGGTCCTCTGTCATTGTATAGGCTTCTTAAATCGGGTGAGTTTATTGGTCTTGTGTTCAGAGGAGATCCTGTCGTTAACAGGTCTTACCTCCCAAACTCATCGTTAAGATGGTTTTAGATTCAGTTTATTTACTATGTGTCCTTACAAGCATTGCCCTTTTGGGCTTCACTGTGCCTCTGTGGCTCTCACCTGAAAGTCCCTGGCTTGAAGGGTCGACTCTGTTGCCTGTGAGGGCTTTGCCTTTGGGTTTTTGTTCATAACTGAGGATTTACCAAAATATACAGATTGCACAAAATATATAAATATTCACATGGACGTTTGCACTAAATGTGTGCATACTTCACATATGCACTGTATATTTAGCATGAATAGCTAAATAATATGATTTGCAAGAGCGCGTGGGTTGCAACCGTATTGATTAATTCAAGAAATCACCCTCATTCAATACATTATAAAACAAATTGTAAGATGTCACAAATATTTCTTGAAGTGAATTACAGTCACATGCAAATTATTGGCAACCACTACTGTTGCAGATTTTGCCGAAGGATACAAATGTATTGTTGCTATTCTCTCCGCACTTTGGTATGATAATTATTCTGTTACATGCCTTAGGGCTGCACTCTTCTGGGGGATATTTAGTTTGTATTGTTATCCGGGCATAAGAATTAAATTTGGGGGAAAATCAGCAGCTGTTTTTATTGGCAACAAGGACAAATAATGATAAATAAAGTTAAATAATGAAACAAAATCTGGTGATTGTTTAGTCCAGGGTCCTTGTCAAATAATGATTTATGCTTCTTATTGTAATAGTTATAGACCTTTTTCATCCTACACCATGACTACACAGTAACCAAACCACAACTGTGCCATGATTGTACCATGACCACAACACAACCACTGTGTGACTGTCACATGACTATTCCATGTTTTCTACCATGACCACTACATGCCTATTCCATGAGTACATCATGATTACACCATGACCGAACCATGACCGCTGCATGACAGTCCCATGTTTTCATCGTAATCTCAGTTTTACTGCTTTGTCATCAAATCAGGACTGTATCATGACGCCTCCACCACTACATTATGACCGTATCATGACAGCACTGTGACGACATCATCCCCATATGATACCTTCTCCATGACCACATCATGACCGTATCATGACCCTACCATGGCCATATCATAACTTCTCCATGACCACATCATGACCGTATCATGACCCTACCATGACCACATCATGACCGTGTCATGTCAGCACCATGATCACATTATGACCGTATTCACCGTGATCGCTTCACAAAGGCGTGTTCCAGCCCCAGCCACGGTGCTCCCTCAGGGACAGACCCCGGTGGTGCCCTGAGCTGAGGGCCTTCACAGGGGACCTGCATACATACCCACCACTCTCCTCCCCTACTGTCCTCTTGCCTGCCTTGTAATGAGCTGTGTCCGGGTTCAGCAGTCTGGGACGTGTGACTGTATTTGTACCCTATAAACAGGGAGTAGGCTATCCGTAAATGCTCCCCCCACCCCCGGTATGGTCTCCCCAGGGAAAGAGCATGATGCAGGGATGTGCTTTCCTTATTTGGATGGGGACAGGGGGGCAGTGATTGGGGTGAGCAGAGAGATGTCTAGAAATCCATGGACTTTAGATATGTTTTAGGTGATGTCATTGTCAGAAATATGTGTAGCAGACGTGTCGGATGGCACACACACACATTTCTCGTATTATTAATGCTGAGATGTCTTATATAAGATTTGTGATATTTAACGAGACAGTTTTTGGATCCAAAAATGTTACTTCCTGAAGTCGAGTTCAAGCAGTCAGCCAGTTACACTTCACATTACGTAACCTGTCACCAGCCACTTTTTTTTGTTATAGTGTCAAGATTTCCAAAATAAGGGGGGGGGGGGACATATTTCCAGACTTCCTGGACAGAAAGTGGCAGAAAACTAAAGAAAAAATATATATTAACCTGTTATGAGTAACATGCATGTTCAAAACCTACACCAATCAGAATGTTCTATATAAAGCAAAAGTATCACATGAGTAGTATAGTAGTTATGGACTTGGGACTAAAGAGAGCAGAATTGATGGATTAAGAACTCATTACCTTTAAGGAACATAGATCCACAGGAGCGCAGAACCACAGGACCACCTTTATATAAAAAAAAATCTCTGCTTAAAAACAACAGCCATAAGCTAGGAAACGAAACCAGTGCAGCGATATTCATGCACATTTTCTTCACGGAGCCTGTGATGGCAGTAAAGGATTCCTGTAGGTGGTAGCGATGTGCATAAGAGCGTGGTCATAAAGGCAGGGCAAGATGGGCGACAGGCCCATTCAAGTGGCATGGCCGGGTTCTGTAATCCGAGGAGCGTGATGTCAGAAGGCACAGGAATGTAGTGGTCTTGGAGGAAAGGTACCCAGTCGAGATTTAAACTGCTTATAGTGAAGATAGAGAGAGATCAGAGATATACTTTGGGTGTGTTATTAAGATTTTAGAGGTGGGCAGGCTGCAGACAGGAAGTAAAAATTAAATATTTATACACTGAAAAACAAGATGAAAAACAAGCCATATACATCACCAGTTCACTGCTTTGATATAAATACAGCTGAATGTTTTTGTTTTACATTCATTTATTACTTAGACCAGTGGTTCCCAAACTTTCTCTGCAGGGCCCCCCTTTTCTAGATAGGAACATTATTGAAACAAATGCAATTACAAAATACAAATGGTGCATTTTCACCACTGTGGGAGAAAAAGAGCAATCAATTAAAAATAAAAGTCCATCATAAGTTTGAAATTATGCAAATGTAGATTTAACATTCCTATTGATATTCATTGGCGTACACAAATTAAAGTTTGTCTTACGATTACCGCATTTTGTTTTTAATGATAACCGCAGGTTTCAGCCTATACTATAGCACAAAACAACACTGATCGGTAAATCATACCGATTAATTGATAGTCTCCCTGCACTTCATGTAGAGAATTTGAAACCTTGTTTTTCATGATACGGTTAGATTTTTTTTACCGTATTGATTAATTCAATTCTGCAAAACGTCGTCACGGGTCACCATGTCACATGGTACAAAAACCTTGCAAGAGCAAGATGACTTAAGACAGATCGTACAGCACCTCTCAGCCGGCTGCACAAACTGGAACAGCCTCCGTGGCGACACAACTTTGCCCTTAATGGCTGAAGAATGTGACGTTTGTATCCCAGGAAGTTCCGATGCATTATCTGCTATTTCTCCCGGATATCACGTAAAGCAGTGAGAACTGGTTTTCAGTTAATTTACTTGGTAAAATAAAGTTTAAATAAATGACATAAATGCTCTAATAGTACACGTAAGTTAGTGGTTCATTTATTGTTAGTTACTGTAATGTTGCGCTGCTTTATTTGTTTAATCGTCCAGTCTGTGAAGAGATTGTTTTAGGGTGGCACATGCCCCTGCGGCTATCCCATGAAATCAGGCATTGTGTCACAAGTAAGATGTTCTGCAGCAGAAGATCCTGCCTTCCAGTTTACTTTTCGCTATCCTGCTAATAAAGGATCTGTCCGAGCAGAAATTATTAGCAATATAAAATAAGGCAACATCCCAGGACTGTGCAGTTAGGGGCTGGAGAACATGGGACATGTATATGATTGATCAGGTGTTTCAAAGTAATTCCGAGCCACCAGCCATCTATGGATTAATTTAGCAGCAGCTGTCTCCTGCTTCGGCGGCGCTCGTCGGCTTCTACGTATCCACCGCCATCCGCTTCCACTCTCTCTCAGCTTTTTCTGCTGATGAGTGTTGTTGGTGGATCCTTCTACCAACAACGATCTTTCATACAGTCTGTGGGCACAAGCTTTTCGTCAACATGGCAGCACGGCTGGCTTGAGTGTCCTGTTCATCCTTTCCAGACTGCACCGACGATTATTAACTTTGCTAACTGACCCCGTTTGAGGTACTTGGCTCTGTTAAGGCTTATTAATGTTCCTTTTCGTGCTTTATTTTTGCACTGTGGTATTTTTTTTTCTCCCTTGTACTGCACATTTTTACAAATTGTTTGCTGACACAGCATAAACATACACTATGTCCTGCCTTAAGAAACTCTTTCATATTGGAATTTTTATTCCAAATTTTTATAGAACATACAATCATGACTAGTTGAACCAAAGCGTAACAGGGAAGGGGGGGTATTGTTTTGAGGGGGGACAAAGTCAGGGCAAGCCCCTCCCCTCACTTGTAATACGTTATGTAATCATAAAGTATTGTCCGCATTGTTTGTGTTTGGTAAAAAACAAATTTACTATGGGTCAGTTTGTTTGGCTTTCATAGCCTTTGGTTTACCAAGGGTGCCGATTAAAAATCGCCCCCACTGTATCCTCCACAAACCCCCCCCCCCCCGAATCTTTTGACTATGACACATGCATTGTACAAGTGCCACATCAATTGTTAGCTAACACCTGCCCTCCCCCACATGTTAAACACCCTGCGTCGTGCTTGCAAATCATGTTGATTAATTGCCGCGCCACGTACCATGCCTGTGGTCGCTCTCACATCCACTCCGCCCAGGATCCCTCCTGGGAGCCGGCTCCGTTTAAATGTTCATTAATCAAAACTGACGACGTGCACACATGCACTCGTGCGACACTCATATGCGCTCGCAAATCCTGCCGTGACACGTTAATAAGACAGAACTCGGAATGACGCCTCGTTTGTGCTAGCTAGCAGGAAATGAAGCTGTGTTTTGTTTTCATGCACCTTGGGAGATTTCGTCTTGTCCTGGATGTCTCAGGTTGTTCCCTAGCTTTGATTGAGACATGACTGTGTCCTGTCAGAGTATCGGAAAAAGCTACCCTGAATTTACAAACAACGGTCCTGCTTAGCTGACAGCCTGTAAGATCCATTCCTTATGGAACACAATACAATTTAGAGATTCAGTTGGTGGATTTTCGTTGACCTTTTGACCCTCTCAATTTTGTAAGGGTGCCCATGAAATGAGTATGAATTATGATGTGTTGTGATGGCATTTGAAATATGTTCTGTTTTATGAGGCTGCATCAGAGGCTATGAATAGTTTGCTTATATCTGTAACACATATACACACATAAATATTTATGAGTGCATCTGGGACAGCGACGGGAAGATCACACGCTGGAATGATGTAGCCGTATGCTAAGAGCGGCGAGGCCCCGTGTCCTGGGGGGTCGACAGGTTTTCCGAGGGCTGTTGTTGGGGCATCCAGCAAATCGACCTCTGGCAGAGCTGCTGATCCGCTTCTGAGTTTTCATTAAGGCATGGATCCTATCTGTGGTCATCTGGCATAATGGAGGAAGGTATACAAACCATATATAATGCATATACTGTAAAACATTTTTTGTGTGTGTGTGTGAGAGAGACAGAGAGAGAGAGAGTGAGCGGGTATACCTTACCTTATGGGGACACAATGTCCCCACAATGTGATGAATACCTGTTTTTTTCTCAATTTAATAAAAATCTGTGACTGCAATGAAAAAAACTAAGTTTGTCTTTGAGAAATTGAGAGACTGGAATCCCTTCATTCCATGTGACGCCTGAGGTTCACCATGTCCTTACGTTGAGGGCATGAGATGTTCTCCAGTCATTTTATACCCTGTTCACACTGATTCTTTTTGCGCTCCCATGCTCTCTGGGAGCCTTCTTGGACGGTGTATAGGTTCAGACTCTGGTGACCAGAAGGTTGCCAGGTCAAATCCCAGTGTCAGCGGAGTGATGTCACTGTTGGGCCCTTCAGCAAGGCCCTTAAACCCCAATTGCTCCATGGACTTCCTAACCTAACCCTGCTCTCTCAATTGAATGTTGCTTTAAAAAGTATCTGTTAAATGAAATAAATGTAGCATCTTACAAGGTCTTATTTTCTCTCTCCCCCCAGCCCCTTAGTAAATATCCGCCTTTGATGAACGACATTTCCTTCTGGATACCTGCTGATGGCTTCACTGCGAATGACTTCTATGACCTAGTGAGGACCATTGGCAGTGACCTGGTGGAGGAGGTCTCCCTGGTGGATCAGTTCACTCACCCCAAGTAAGATGCAGCACCTTCTGTTTACTTAAAAATCATGCTTGATCTGCAAAATTCCAGTTAAAAGCAGAATACTTTGTATCTTCTTATCGCTAGCTTGCTAAGAGGTTCTGTGTTCCTAAAAGGTAATAAGTTCATAATATATCAGCATTCCTCGTGTTTGTCATGTACTGTTGGTACACAAGATTTGACAATTTCAGTCCTCACTACATAGGAATTAAAAATACTTTATTTGTGTGTACCTAATTGTTCCTTTGTAGTAGAGACGCTTTATGCTTAAAAATGTTTTTCTTATTAAATACTGGAACAGGGATCAGATTTCAGAGAGTGGAGAATTTAATTGGAAAGTGTAATAATCTGAAAAATCCTGTCTAAATGTCGATGTCTTTTGAATTAATGGCTTTCAGAGATATACACATACAGAGCCACGCACAGGTTTGTAATTATATCTTTGTAGGGACTCTCCATTCATTTCTATGGGGAAAACCCTAATCCCAACATGACAACCTTAACCCCTACCCAGCCCTAACCTTACACATAAGTACCTAAACAAAATACGAGACTTTTGTCATTTTTAATTTTTTGATAGCATTCACGGATTTTTGTGAGGACCTGAAAAATGGTCCCCACAATGTGAAAATAACCGGTTTTTATTACATTGTGGGAAACATAATCCACACACAGACATATACACACACACACACACACACACAGCCACCCACAGGCAGACACACGAAAGAGGAGGTACCTCTTGTTCCTCAGATTAATCCCTGACCTGTACCTGACAGGAAACACGGCAGAATCGTGTCGGTAAAGCCAGACTCATTAGTGGCGACCGCCGTCAGGTCAGACAAAAGACGCGGAGACCCGAACCCCCGTTGACGGCAAAGACTAATGTTCCCTGCCAGTTAGTGGGCGAAAAGATCATTTAGAAAATGAAAGAAGCAGATTTCTAATTTCACCCGACAAAGGAGACAGCCTCATACTCAGGGTCAGGAGTGGAGACATTGTGAAATAGTTTGGTAAAGGCTTGCCCCTCTTTCCCTCCTGAAATTAGATTTTACCTACTTGTCACATAAGATGGCTTTATGTCCGTTAATTAGGCATAACATTTTTAAAATCAATATCACTTATACCCATGATATTTGCGCAGTATGGACCATTTAGCCATTACTAGTAGTGATTAAGTTATTTTTGATCCTGAACCCTTTCGTTCTCCATCTGTGCTTTTCTTCGAAATGTAATCGATAAAGACATAAGAGGACGGCTGCAGGAGAGGAAAGCTTCTCCACTTGGGTCTTATTAAGGGCAATCATTAAAAAGTCTGCAGTGAGTAAGAAACACAGGCATTAAGCTATTTTCCGTACGATCGGTCTTTTCCATCACTGAACAGCATCCACATCCTTATCGCGTCCTGTGTCTGTGCTAATGATTTTGGGTGTGACAGCTCGACCCTCGGGTGTGAGCGCTGCAGGCTTTTGAATATGGAAGATCGCAAAGCATCGCATTTGAGAGCGTTAGCTACTTATCCTGGGAAATAATCATTTTCATAAATTGTGATCGCAGCGTGAATCAGGCATGATTAACGGCGTTTGTGATAACACTGATATCGGCACAATAGCAAAACATCAGTAGCCACGTATTTGCCTTCATATTGACACCTCATTAATTATCATGGCATGTTTTTGTGGCACAAGTGAGCAGAAACACAATATTAAACACCCACCCCCAAAAAAATATAGTGGTACATTAATCCAAGGCAAAAGATTCTGAGAATATACTAGGAGCACCACTTACAGCTAAGTAACAATAATTCATATTATTTTATTTATGCAGGTTGCAGCAAATTCAGCAAGTTTTTCAATTCACAGTGACATTCACCCCATTTAATACACCAAAGTATTTTACTAGAATAGTTAAGCATCTCCTGCAATATTTTCTGCACTGATCCAGGTCTCTGACTTGGGCTTGAACCTACTACCATCTGGTTTCCAACCCTTTACGAATATATTGCATTATTATCAGCCAGTGAATGCGATGGAAAACCCTGCATAACACTGTGGTTAAAGCCAAAAAGTAGCTTTACCAGATAGTAGCACCAAAACAGTTTACATTTATAGTGTTTCAAGGGCACAGCTGGTGTAAATGGCTCTTATAAACAATAAGACTGTGTAGCTGAGCCAAACCCAAATGGTTATTCTTTTAATAAAATGGTTTGGTGTTCCTTCACGCTATATTTGCATGGTAATCAAATCGGTAGATTCCAGTTTCCCTAAATGGAGTATATTATAAAATTAGCCGTGAGACAGAAAGGATGCGTTCTCTCAGAGGATGGCAGATAAATGAGGGGAGAGCTGTGCTTCTCGGGGATATAAATAGATGCATCTGCGTGGTGTTAAAAGCCGTTACGGCCATAATAAAGTGATCTTCATTATTACCTTACAGATACTCCTTAGATTGTTATGATTGTCTTAATGGCTGTGCTTTTAGGGAAAAGCAAATCATTTCAGGATAATGTATGTGTGTGATTCTATAATTTGTATGCAATAAACACATGTTTTTTAGCTATAATGTTACATTTTTTATTGTTGCTATTTCATAGCCATTGATTGAGATTTGTTAAGAGTAACCACTGTCTTACATACATCTCAGTGTTCTGTTCTGTATTTATTGTGAGAGGCTCGACAATGATGGAGGAGGCGGGGTTATCTAGGGGGAGTGATCATGTGACCGTGGTTATTATGCTGATTGGGTCCTTGTGTTTCTGGCACTATAAATGTATTCTTTATTTCTTTCTTATTTGGCCCAGTGAACCTCCTCAGAACCCCTCACCTTTTCTATTCTGGTGGCTCGCTTTGTGGAACACCTCTGTAGCCTTGAGGAATCAGTGGCCAATGAAAACGAAAGGAAATGATAATACTGTGGAAGCTTATTGAGGACTCTAGTCCATAAAGATGTTACTTTAAATTCATTCAAATTAAAATTCATTTTATAATTGTCTCCTTTTATACCCTCAGTTTAATGTATCTGAATTTGATGTATGTGATGTAGTGCACCTTTTATTATTCACGGCAAGCACTTTTTGAGCTTGAATTAATATACATCCAGCCAATTTTCATTTTTCATAGTGAGATTGGAACCAGGGCCATGCAGTTGGGCTGGGGGGTGGTCCCCTTTGACTGGGAGGGGGAGGTTCTCCTTCATAAAATCTCCCCCAAAAAGGGACACACAAAACCTCAGAAGGGAGTCATGTTGGGCAACCCCCCCCTCCCCCCAGTGACTGGACATCCCAGGGTCAAAAGGCATGAGGCAGGGGCCCCCCTGGATGGGGTCTAATCGGGCATCATTTGCAGTCATGCAATAAGGGCAAAACACATGTCTTTGGACTGTGGCAGAACCAGAATACCTGCAGGAAACCCACATAAAGAGGGGGAATTTGCGACATCTGCATAAACAGAGGTGATGACACTGGAACTGTATGGCCTCAGTGCAGTCTAGTAAACTAGGTTGTATTAATTTACATTTAAATTTAAAATCTGTAAAAGGTCTCCATATGACTTTCATCGACAGTCCAGGTTGCTGAAATATTCTGATTTGTGTGAGAGATCATTTTGTAAACTGGCATACACTGTACCATACTCTGTGCAGTAGGCGTTAGATTTTCGGCTTCTGGTTACGTTCACAGGAGTGAGGAAGTGCAGGTATTTTGCAGATAACTAAAGATAGAACTTCAGATTCTGCGCTGATTGCCACTTAAGGTGTGCAGAATTTGTCCACACATAACTGAACTCATTATACTTGACTGTGTGAAGTTCAGTAATTTTCACTTTGTGGTACAGTTACAGCGTTGCATTTTAAGCTCTCTGATGCTGGGTAAGTTTCTCTTTTCGGTGCAGTAAATAGCTAATCTCACGTTTCATAGTGAAGAGGCAGCCCTACAAATAAAATACTGCTGAGTTTGAGGGGTTTGCCCACTATCCCTGCTTCTTCCTCCCTCTTTCCGTCTCTGAGTATAAATAGGCGTGGCGAAGAAGCCTACTGTCCCCCAAAGTGTCACATTTATTCAGGGAGCTGTCATGTAAATGTGCAGTGCATGCTGGGATACCGGCTCCTTCACACAATACAGAGGCGGTGTGAAGACATCTGAAGGAAATTAATGAAGTGCGGAACGGCTCGCCTGTCGAATTTCTACAAATATCACGTCTCCGCACCTCATTTCAGAAACGGTTTTAAGACTTTTTATAGCTAGTTTATTTTTAAACTGTTCTTTGTGTGATTGTGTGTGTGTGCGTGTGTGTGCGTGTGTGTGTGTGTGTGTGTGTGTGAGAGTCGTTTTTTGGGCAGATATGAAATGTACTTTCCTGTTTCATTCGCTGAGTATGATGGCCGGGTTTCTCCTACTGTCGTCTTTTTCTTTTCCTTCACTTTTTTTTTTTTTTTGTTTCTGTCACACTGAAGTCTGTTTTCTAGCCATCATGCTTTATAGGCGCCAAAAGCATCATATTCCCACAGAATCGGTATTGATTTTTATTTATTTATTTTCCTGAAGGTGTTACGCAATAAACTGCAGAGCTGAGGAGCTTTCAGGGCCCCATTTTTCGGAGCTCAGACCTATGGGGCTCACAGCACCTCTTATATAATAGTTTGTGGACGGCGAACATTCATGGTTTCAGGTCTTTAGGTATGTTAGCATAGCAGGTATGTTGGTATGAAATCGAACGATTTATTAGAGCAGCTATTTCCTTGTAGAGAGGATCCAATTACCTGCCCCTCCGACCAAAACTAAGATTCCGAAACAATGTCTTAGAGATTTTTTTATATGTGCAAGGGCACGAGTAGACTCTGTGCCTTGTGTTTCGTCTGAGGTCTTTGGAAGTGGAAGCAGATCTTTTTAGGCGGGTTTCTACCCTGCCCTGTGCACGTCTGTAGTATCTCTCGCTCCTCCAAGGGCTCACCTAGCGGACGCCAGCCCCAGCTCTCCTGTCCTCTCATTTCCATACTTG